ACTGCAGACACCTGAAATTTTGCTTTTTGAAATCAGAAAAAAATACACCTGAAAATTAAGAGGTGGGAAAACCAAAATGGGAATAGTATTATTAAATACAAATTATGTTATAAAGTAGTATCAGACCTGCCAAATTTTCTTTTTGTTCATAATATGTGTATTGATTCAGTTACACTATGAGAAGAAGCATAACTACAGATGATAATTAACTGAAATGCAATGAGCCTGTGTATTCACACACAGGGCATAGCTTGATAGATACAATTATCACAGTTATTTTGCTAAAATTGTTCAATGATAAAAAAACCGCACATACTGGAAGTCTTAGAGATGTTAATGTTTATAGACATGTTATCATCAAAAGGCAACACGTTTAAAGTTTAGCAACATCGCTATACACATTTTGACTTTGGCAATAGTAAGACCTAAACAAAAGTCATTTCCTTCAAGTCATTTATTAAAATTACAAGGTTTAATTTAAGGATCAGGTAGGTGGATTCCACTTCCGTGGACTTCAACAGGCTTTGAACTGGACCCATAAATGGTGTTCCTTGACTTGTCATATCAAACCCATACCCGCTGATAAATGTCAATTTCTAGTGGGCAGGATACGGTTACACATCCCAAGTGGTAACACATTTACTACTAATCTCAGCAGATGAATTAATGGATGTGAAAATGAACCATCTTCGGATTTTTCCCAGTCAAGATCAAATAAAATTAGAGATGGCGTCGGGAAGCTTACTTAGTCCATCCTTACACGTTCAATGACTAGACTGAGGATTTGGTCTCTGTAGCTGTCAAGCTAGCCACTTCCATGAGAAGTGCATACACTAAGTCAAAATAAATAAATAAATAAAATCATTTCTTACTAGGCTGTTTCAAGGTACTGTAATTTTCTCTTTTCCATATAGATTCTGATGACTAAACTGTGAGACCAAAGATATCCTTCTAGTATCTGGTAGGGTATTCTTTTACCCTCTATATTATCATCATAACCAATACCATTTTAAGCAATGACAAAACAGAAAAGCTTTAATTTCTGATGTGGTTTTATAATTAATCCAACATATATGAACAAGCACACAAACAGCAGTAACAATTCTGCAGAAAAGTTTTCTTTTTGTAGATACACACTCCTCTTACAAGTAAAACATTAGCGTCAAAAATTTAAGTAATTATTTACAATGAAACATAAAAAAAAAATAGGCCTTCATTTTATGAGGAAACAATATAAAAGTCACAAACAAATCAGTAAGTCTTTTTTAAAAGTATGTATATTTAGTGGCTGACCTTTCCAACACTTAGTTACAGCTGTAACTTCTATTCATGAAACTAGTTATTCACATGTACAAATGAAAGCAGCTCAGCCATTGCCACCATACTTTGCAAGGGCTTTGTCTTGTTGAAAATATTACATGGCAGTTCATTCAGTTTACTGAGACCAGGTCTCCGCTACAAATTATCCAGGGCCAGGACAGCTTTATCAGCCGGGTGTGCAATCCCTGCCTAGCAGATGTGCCTAAAAAGGCTCCTAGTGCAGATGCAGTTACACTATGGGCATTTTACACGTGCTCTTGGAAGTGGTGCCAGGCACATTACTTAGAGAGCTAAGCGCCCGCATGTCACAGGTAATTAATGGGGTGTAGCTTGTAGCCGTGTTGGTCTAAGGACATAGGCAGACAAGGTTCTTTGGGTGAATCTGATTTCTTTTATTAGACCAACTTAAATAGTTGGAAAACAATTATTAAGCAAGCTTTCAGGTTCAAAAACCCTTTGTCAGGCTAAGGAAGTTTCAGCAGTTGGTGTGTGCTCTTCCTGGATGGATCCAGGAAGAGCACACACCAACTTCCATCCCCAAAGAACACACAGGTAATTAAAAGCACCCATGCATCACGTGTATCAGAATCCCCATGTGTCCCCATGCTGAAAAATGGCAGTGGGACACGTTGAATTAAAGCTCATCAAACGTGTTTTACTTCAAAGCGCTCCGCTGCCACTTCTTCAGCGTGGAGGCACGCAGGGATGCTGATATATGTGACGCAGAAGGCTGCCCAAATGGATCCATTTCCATGTTCCAGCAGACTCAACTGCTACTCGATTAATCAAGTCTGCTTCTACACACTGGATTTCCAGTGCATTGAGAAAGGTTCCCCCGCACATGTATAGGAGCCCTGTGCTTTTAGCAATGTAGCCAAATTTTCTTGGGCGGGGAAACTTAAATAAGCTATATTAACAAAAGGAGTTTTTCCAGTGTAAGCACTCTCTCAGTCAGGAGCATTTTGACAATGCAACATACTAGAATAGCTATTCCAGCACAACTTTCCAAATGCAGACGTGGTCTAATTCAAAAAACTCCTTCAACTTCTAGAATTTTGGCATCTGTAAAGTTACTCTTTGCCAGAAAGTCTGTTGCAGCTAGGACAGGATCTATGGAATCTTAAGGTATCTCCTTTCTTTTTACTGACCAAAGAAACATCAGCACCATCATAATAAAACCCAGCAAATTAACTTTTCCCAGTGAAACAACTGTGTTTTTGCAGATTTTGTGGGGAAAAAAAAAAGATTCCTATTTACATAGTTCATGCCCAAGAGAAGCAAATGTATTAAGTTTACTTTTTAATACAAGCTATGCTTTGCATATTTTACATTTTTAATCTCAGCTTAGTTTATGTAGTATAATTTTCAGTATAAATACTTTATTAAACCAACGAAAAAGTAATTTCAGTTTTTGAAGGGTACTATATTTTAAGTTCATCTCCTCAGAATTGCCGTTAGTATTGGCCTCACACCAGTTGCATCTGGCCTACTTACAAGCATTTCTGGGCCAACCTTCCTTTATTTTTTTTCCTTTTGTACTGCAGCTAGACTCAAATACAAAGAATGAAAACAGGGATGGGGAGGTTAGGCAGGGTTGAAAAGTTAGCTGACATACAACTTTACAGCCACTTTCTACACCCTAATAATAGATCTCTCTAGACAACCTTAATTTCAGAATGCATTTAAATTGTGTATGCATTAAATGCATTTAATCTATGTAGCAGGGGTTTAGGTTGTAGCCGTGTTGGTCTAAGGACATAGGCAGACAAGGTTCCTTGGGTGAATTTGATATCTTTTATTAGACTAACCCAAATAGTTGGAGAATAGTTATTAAGCAAGCTTGTATGCATTTAAACCAATCAGAAACATGATTTTATTTTAAAAGTATGTTGGTTTTTGTTTTTAATTCTCTCTCACATTTTCCCTTCTATTTCAGTTATTGCTTTAGGTACTTGACAGAGCTCATTAGATTTAATTTTTTTTTTAAAACACTTAACATTTCTGTTCATAATGTCCTTTGCAACTTCAGTGTACAGCATCTCTCTGTTTGACCTCAACCATTGTCAGAAATAGTTTATTTTCTCTAGTCTGCATAATCTATCAGTGAGAGGAAGGGAGAAATACAGTGCAATCAAATAAGGAATTCATGTATCTTAACAAGTCCACCTCTCACTGTAAACATACGTGTAATTGTAGAAATCAGATTTCATACAGGGCTTTTAAGTACATAATTACAATACAATTACACAAAACATCTCAGCTAAATTAGCAATACCATTAATCATGAAGAGTTTAGGAACACCATGGGCCCTGGGATTCTTATGCTAACACATGCAGGTTTTTTGTTGGTTTTTGTAGTAGGACTGCCTGTTTTGGGGGTTGTTGTTGGTTTTTTTGGGGGGGGGGGGGGTAACTTTTCCTAAATATTTTGTTAAAAACATCTTCATTATTGCTGGAGTTTGAAAGCACTTTCATCCTGATATGATAAATCCAGAAATTCAGATTAATCCTTTAAATATTTCACAATGACAGTGATGCTGATTTCAAAAGGTTATTTTAAAGTTTCAGGACTTAAATACTTGTATTTATTTATTTATTTATTTATTTATTAGCTGTATATAGTGCAATACCCAGAAGGTTCAGAGTGGCTATTTTCCTAGGGTTTGCTTTCTTAAATGAACAGCTCTAAAAGAACAACAGCTGGAAGTGACATCAAAACAAACAGGCAAAAAAAAAATGATCATCTCAGTAAACACTGTAAAAATAACGTGTAAACTGCAAAGATGACTTTTCTACACTTTTGCTGTTCTTTGCTCATGCTGTGGTGTGTTTGCATTTTAACAGTTTTAATTCACTTCTGTAACAGGCAACTACTCAAGTCATAAATAAACTTTACTATAATGTAATTCCAATGGCCTCAAGCTTTGAACAAAAACAACAGCAACAATTTTTCCCAGGGTGCAGAAGTAAAAATTACCCCACCAGATACTTGAAATGGTACAATATCACAATGAAAAATTCATCAAATGTTGTTTCTAAGTAGCACTAAGAATACAAAATAATTTGTGCACAACCTTTACAAAAACACCCACTCAAAATAGGTCAAATTATAGGGTCAATAATATCCTTTACAAATTCATTTAAGCCTGGGATATTGCCTATGTTATTCAGCACCAAATCTGGCACATCAAGCTTTAAGAGAGACACTTTTCATCCCAATTCGCACTCAGTTGCTACAGGCAAGCAGTTTAACTAACCTCACACATAGGACATTAAATCCCAGCAGGAACATATCTGAATCGATTGAGTTCCACATCACAATTCCATTCCTCCCATGCAGCAATGTACACGAGTACTACAACCAACATCTACCAAACTCACAGGGAATCAGATTTGGCATTAGGCGAGATGAACAGCAGTTAAACACTGACCCTGCTACAAGCACAGACTCATCCTTTAGTTTAAAAAAAAAAAAAAAAGCCAACAAAAATATTGCAGCCCTATCTTAACTTGCATGAAAACTGTAACACGGATGGCACAGGGAGGCAATGAGTTACGGATTTATCTTATGGACACAAGCCAGGACTAACCAGTTACAGGAGTTAGAGAGTTACCAGTTCTGGCATGCTAGAGTAGGTAGAGCATAACTGTTACAGCTGTTGTCAAGTTATAGGACTAACCAGTGTATAGGACCAAGCAGTTCAGCTGCGCAAGGCCGGGGAGGAGGGGATTTCATCCTTGTGATCCATCACTTCAGTGACAGCTACTGGAACTTTTCCTTTAAACTTATGAACCCTCCAGCTTCTCAGCAATCAAGTGTGAAAAGAAGCGAGAGCGAGAGCGAGCGCGGCGTCCGCACGCGCTCCCAGCCACCCCGCGCTGTGCCGCTGCCCCACAGCGCGCTGGCACCGAACGGGAGAGGGAAGCCAGCTCCGGGGCTCCTTCCCGGCTTCGCGACACGATCTAGAAACCACCTAGCAGCGAGGGAAACCCGGAAAGCCCTTCTCCCCAGCCAAGGGCCGGCCCGATGTCTTCAATTCCTGCCCAAACCCAATGGAAATGGGAAAGTTACTCATTCCTTCCAGAGGCCCGCACCAGGCGGGGATTTCGCAAGCCCGGGGTCCGGGGTTTGGGCAACCGGGGGGGTTGCAACCACCGCGTGGCTGAGGGGGGAGCAAAGACACGCGCTGAAAGAGAAAAGCAAAGAGGGGGCAGCTGGAGGCGCGGCCCCGCCGAGCCCAGGGCAGCAGGCGGGGGAGAGGGGAAGACTTTTCCCGGGGGAGCGGCAGGGCAGAGGCCCCCGGAGGAGAAGCAGGGCCCGGCTCCCCGCAG